GGGGGGGGGGGGTACCAAATCATATTTCGTTTAGCTTGATTCATTTTCCAGCCCCAAATAATCCTTCAACTCACTAGGGAAACAAGGGTAACGGCGCCACCGTCTGCTATGCAACTTAAAGATTTTCACCACCCTATCCTTGGTATTCGACCGCCCACTAATATGCAACAGCGCCACCAGCCTCTTCACCGCCCCACACACCAACAGTTCCTCCAAAACCCTTTCTGTGGAATGAAAATTGCATAGCAACCATACAATTTTAACACCAATTTTTGTTGCAGCTTCTGACACGTTCAACAATTTCTTGGACATGGCTGCAATTCCTAGTTCATGTTCAATAAAGGCCAATCTTCCGTCGGCACATTCACATATAAGTTTGATTAATTGCATTATTTTCTCACACTTTGATCTGTTTGAGTCGGGAAGAAGCTCAATTAGGGTACAAACTGCGCCAGCTTCAATGGCTTTTAGTCGGCTTTTTTTGGATGCATCCAAGATTCCTAACAGAACCTGTAGGGCACATGAACTCGCCTTTGTACAAATTTCATCTGATATTATTTCTAATAAGGACTTGTAGAATTCTATACCTTGATCTTGTGCAACATAATTCCAATGATAATCAGCTTTAGCTATCTTCTGAAATATTGAAATGGTACAAAACCGAGCCTCGGCGCTTCCTCTTTGAAGCATTATAGCCATGGATTTCATGCATTCAGGCTTCATCAACAACTGAATTGCCTCATCATCTTCATCTTCAGAAAATGGTAAAAGCTGCAACGCATCTAAAGCCTCTTCACAAGCTCTAAACGTTATGAAATCCGAGCTTTCGACTAAAATCTGTAAAATTATCCTTACAAGAACCTCCACACCTCCTGATATCATGAAATCAGCCTTTATTTCATCTCCCATTTCAAGAATAGACTTAAGTTTCTTCAAACAACTTACCTTAAAAGGCGTCGACTCAATTGTCCCAAGAAGTGTCATCAGTTCATCATGTTTGATCGAATGTCGACCTGCTGATGATGAACTGCATGATTGATCACCAGATTGTGCATTTCTCCATGCAAGAATCAGCCTCTTGAGGGTATGATTTGGAGTCATATCTAAACTCTCAATACACTGCATTGTAGCAGGACATATCTTCTTCTTGTATGTACCGAACCACCTTTCGATATTTTTTCTCTCATATGTGACCCCTGTAGAGATTGTTACAGGATCTTTCATGAGCTCCATGGAAATGGGGCATCTAAAATCTTGAGGGAAATCCATGGGTGGATTTTTCTCCATTTCCATTGAAGCTGAAACAAAATTATGAAGGGTCTCATATATAGTAATTTGCGTAAGAAGTGGGGAGTGGAATAAATCAAAGTCAAAACTGCCATTACAAGCTGTATAAACATGGAAGGGACAAGGAAACTATCGGAGAGTCTGAGAATTTTGAATACTATATCTATCACACTAAAATTAATGTTTTCAATCCCAATTTTACGTGTCATTTGCAATATGACCCCTTAGACTTTATTTTATTAGCATTATTTTCTTTGGTGGAATTTTTTACTTTCGTTTTCCGTTCAAATATATTAATAGCTGTCGATATTCAATTCTTTCCCCTTTTCACTTAAAATTATGTTATTTACCATTTGAAATGATATTTATTTCTTCTCATTGTTTCATTTAAATATTGAATCGATTAATTTTCGATATTTTTTCTAAACCATTACTATAAAATGGTTGTTCGGAAATTAATTTTTTATTCCAAAATGTTCATTATCAATCAATGTTCAAAAAAACTCGCCTAGGCGGCACCTAGGCACCATCAAAACTTGAGCAAAACGTCCCGCTTCACGTTTATGCCCCCTTTTATCAGTTCCTAAATGACTAATTTTTTTTCTTCATCTCTTTCGTCTTCCTTAGACGCGCTTTATTAATTTTTTTTAAGATCGATATTTCATTGAAGTTCAGAATGGAAAATAACACCGAAGGATAATATTATTTATAAATTCTTTTTTTTAATACAAGACTATTTATAATTGCTTTGATAAAATTGTGACATCTGAAACGAAAGCATTTTCTAAGATTTAAGAAAGAAAAAAGCCAATCAACATTAAAAGATATTTGTAATGATGCAGTATAATATATTTTTAAAAGGCATAAAGGAAATGTTTTAATTTGTAAAATCCCTCAATAGTTATTATTACTATTATTTGAGAAAAGGGTAAATTAGCATAGAACTATAAACACAGGGGCCATTATAGAGTATACAAAAAGTGAAGGGGGGGCGAACTGAAGTCTCCCCTTGAGAGGGTTGACTTTAAGGCAAATATAGAACTGTTGAGTAAGATTTCAGTTAACGTTAGCGCACGACATTGTGTATAAATTGTCAGAAATTAAAACTGATAATTTCATTTAAAATATAATTTTGTTCAATACATAATTTCGGCGAGGACTGCGATTCACACGTTATCATTTGAAAACACAAGGAGACTGTTGAGCTGCCCATCTCTTTCAATTTTTTTTTTTAAAAATATTAAATAAATTGTAATGGGAGTTGATAAATATATATAGTTTACCCCGCACATGAACACGAGAATTCTACAATTTAATATCTCTCGAGTTTAATCAAAAACAAGGACGACGTCACGGTAGGAATACGTCTTTGTACATTAAGCTAAAATTGTGCTCACGACTTAAAATAAATGAGTATTAACGATGTAATAAATTTCAAAGCTTGCTTTAATACTCTATCGATATTTATGGTCATCTAATATTTCGACGTCACTTAAATTATATAGTCAACTGAAAAAAAAAAAAAAAACCTCAAGTGATTTGTGTAGTTTTTAAAAAGTCAGGGTGTTAATGGTCAGTTAAAGAAAGAAAGAAAAGATGATACTCCCCTCCCTCCCTCCCTCCCTCCTTTTTTTTTTTTTTTCTTTTTCCTTCCTTTCTTGTTTTTTATTTAATTTTTTGTTTAATTAAAAATAAGGACAAAATAATCTTATCTACAAAATTTTGGTTTTTCAGTTTAAGAAAAGGGTAAAATTAGTCCACTAAAGTAATACCAAAATGAAAAATTGATGTAAATACTATATTAAGATTGAGGACCAAAGTACAATGTGCATTAAAGGCTGGGGACCTCTGATGTTATTTTCCATTTCTCTTTGCTTAAGTGGATAATGAGAAGTAAACCTGTGTCTGTTCTTCTCTGGTTAAGAACTGGGGAATTCAGTATCCAGCTTTCTCATCAATCTTGCTTTGGCGTGGCTGGGATTCGAGCATTCTTCCTTTACTGCCCCATTTCCAAGCAGACCCGAAAGAGTAAGTTTCTTTTTCTTTGGTTACTGCCAGAAATTATATGTTCTGTGATTTTTATTTTTATATTCACAAATCTTATCTTTATGAGTTGAGAAATTTGAACTCCATCATCGTATTCGTCAAATTGAATAATGGTTTGGGATTTTGATTACTCGAGTTTATGAATTACAAGCATTGCAGAGTTCGAAATTAGGACCAGAGTACAGAATATTTTTTGTAAATGTTGAATGGACCAAAATTAGGGCTAACCAATTCTAATGAATTGTATGTGTAAATAGAAAAGGGGGTATTATTAAATAATCATGAGCTATGTTTCTTTCCCACCCGAATTAACACAGTCAATAAAAGAATTAAAAATATGGAATGTTTTGCAAATAAAATCGATAAAAGCATTCATAAACGTGCAAAAATGGCTGTATTTTATTTATTAAGTTGGAATGGTGCTATTGTGTGAAACAGAAAATGTCTCTACCTGTGACTGATTATTTCTGGTTTTATATGCAAGAAAATGCTAGTGTATTTTCTTTGGGCAAGATAAAGACGATTTTTTTCTCAAGAGAAATTTTGCAGAAAGGCTCACTGTTTAATGTTCTAAGTTGTACTTTAGAGGTTAAATACAAGGTGTAAGACTTGATAATACTCATTAACCTCCTATCTCGAATTCTTAGTTTGCTAGATTGTGTATTGAAGAAGTTCTGGCACCAAATATATGAAGTGTGTTAAGCGAAAAATTCTTTGAAATTTGTATAGGGTTAGTTTGCTGGTTTTGTTGTTTGCTCATATATAGTAGAAGGTAGAGGGGGATATGGCAAGTATTGTCTCGGCTTCTGCTTTTAAGGTCTTCTCCATCAATAAAGGCAGCAGAGAGTATAGAAGATCAAGTGCTACTCGTGGGCAATGTCAAGGTATTAGGGCGATGAGGATTGAAAAACCATTGGAAGAGCTGTACAATGTGAGGGTGGAGAGAAATGTATCGAAAGAGCGACTGACAGAGCTTGACATTTCGAAATGGTCGATGTGGAAGACAGGCAAATGCAAGCTTCCATGGGACTGGCATGTTGATCAATTAGTTTATATCGAGGAAGGGGAGGTGAGGGTCGTACCTGAAGGGAGTCAGCGCTATATGCAATTTGTAGCTGGTGACCTTGTTCGGTACCCCAAATGGTTTGAAGCTGATCTTTGGTTCAATGGCTTCTATCAGGAGCGCTACAGCTTCCGAGCATACGGTGATGACTAGTGGAAAATTTTTATTTCCTGAAAGCAGTTATATATGGAATGTTGGTTTTTTTTCTTAATGCCCAGATTGAAACAATTTTGTCTACTCTATTATTGTATCTCTAGAGTCGATAACTTTATTTGAGACCTGGAATGTTTTGTTTGTGACTTCCAGAATATTGTATTATTGGCTTATTTGCAGTGTGTCTCGTTGGAGGCCATTAGTTTTTTGTATCATAACATAAAATCAATGGTACAATTTTATTTTTTTTCAAATAAACTAAGATATACAATAATTGACCCGATTTTTCTAGTTCAACCATATTTAAAACTTGTATAGTATGATACGAAAACATTAAATGATTTTTAACGAATAAATGCAAACTCCAAAAAAGAAGGATTCAATTGTGCTTGGTGAAGATTTTACATTTATCGACTTTTTTTACATTCATTCGTTCAGTTAAACTTATTTCGACTTTATTTTTTTTTACCAAGGAATAGATCAAGTAAAAAAGGCACGATCTCGATCTCGAGGTAAGAGAAATGAAAGCACGGGAAGAAATATATATATATAATATTAAGCATGTACACTATAATTATATATAAGCAAAATAATTATTTACTTTTCCAAATGACAATGACAAAGTGAGAGATTGAGCATCATTTCAGCAAATAAATGTGTAGTGAAAACCGGATGATACCAAATTGTTGGAGAAGTTAAGATCGATTAAGCCATGAAGTTAAGATCTTTTGCCAGTATCTATATATGCTCTATCTCTCTCGAAAATATTAGAAAAACGAAAAAAATAAAAATGTCTCTTCTTTTTTCCATTTGTAGGTGGACAATACAAGGGAAGGCGATTTCTTATAACTTCTCCATTTTTTACTATATTTTGTTGACACAAGTCAAAACATTTCTCTACTGACAAATACCAAAAATTCTTTTATTTCTATTTATCAGTTTTTATATATATATTTTCATAGAAAAGTATTTTAGTGATGAATGACTTGTGAGAGGATGCGTTTTTCAACTTCTCCGATGAGTAAAAAAAATCTGAAAAGTTCTTGTTGCTTTGGTTGATGTAATTAGGCAATTAGATCTATTAAGATTTGAAAAGTGAATGCTCTGTGTTTACTAGTATAATTTATTAGTAGGTGTANTAGACTTTCGTCTTTTTTTTTTTTTTTATTTTTTTATTTTTATTTTATTATTTTTTTTCTTTTTGGTGGCTGTACTAATGTAGGTGTAAAATGGACACAATAGATGTGAATGTATGTGAAGAAAGTGACATGGCAACACCATCAGATGATTTGCTATCGGATCTTCCTCCATGTGCACCATTAACATCACGTAAGCGAAAATCTAATATACTAGCTTCATATATCCGGGATCACTTTACACTGTTAGGCTCAAGGTATGGTTCGGATGCTAGGTGTAAGTGTAACTATTGTGGAGTTGATTATCCTTGTGGTACTAAGAAATGTGGTACAAGCACTTTGCGTAACCATTTGACAAATAATTGTAAAAAGTATTCTTGTAGATTGCAAGATAAGAAGCAAAAAATCTTGTATTTTGAGAAAAAGGAGGGTGATGGGAGCAATCTTATAGCTATTAGCCGGAGTAAGGAAGAATGTAGGGTTGTTTGTACAAAGATGGTAGTACTGGATGAATTACCGTTTAAGTTTGTTGCAGCTTGTGGTTTTAGACAATTTTGTAGTGCTGCATGTCCTCAATTCCAGGCTCCGTCTCATAGGACTTTTGTTAGAAACATTTATCAATTATATTTGGATAAAGAGTTGAAATTGAGAGATATCTTTTCATTTCACCATCAAATGTTTTCCTCACAACTGATACATGGACATCCATTTAGAATGTTAATCACATGTCTCGTATTGCATACTTTACTGATTCTGATTGGACGTTTAATAAGCGTATTTTGAGTTTTTGTGTTGTTCCAAAACATTAGGGGGAAATAAATGGAAAAACGATAGAGACTTGTTTGCGTGATTGGGGGATTGAAATTTTTTTATAGTCACTGTTGATAATGCAAGCTCCAATAGCACATCGATTTCTTATCTTGGAAGGTCATTGGTTGGGGTAGAAACGGGTGTTTTTTGGATGGAAGATATTTTCACTTGAGGTGTTGTACACATATTATCAATTTGATTGTTTGTAAGGGTTTGAGAGAAGCACACAACTCTATTGTGAATACTCGCAATGCAATCAAATAGTTAAATCTTTTCCTAGTAGATATGAGAAATTGAAGGAGTGTGCGATGCAAGAAAAGATTGATTGCAAGTCCATTGTGTAAAACCTACAAGGTTGATGGTGGAATTCTACCTATTTGATATTGGAAACGTTATTCAAGTTTGGACAAAGTTTTTGAAATGTTAGAAGAAGACGATGCATAGTATTTACATTACTTTCGAGAGGACAATGGTGGTAGAAGGAGGAGCGGACCTCTCTCAAGTTTAGATTGGGAAAATGCATGTGTTTGTCAAGTTACTTAGAAATTTCTTCAAAGTGAGTTTGAATTTTAGTACGTCGTTGCGTGTTAGTGCTTCTACTTATCTTCGTGAAATATGTAATTTTGCCATCGAATTAGATGAATGGAGATTAAGTGACAATTTATTGTTGGGTGAAATAGCAACTAACATGATCTATAATTGGACGGGGAAGTTGTTAGTAGCATGACGAAGTCTTTGAAAATCAATTTGATGGATATTTATGATTGGTATGTGTATTGTGAAAGTGTTTGTGGAAGTAGTCAAGTACTAACCGAGAATTCTTTAAGTTCTTTCAACTCAAATAAAAGTAGTTCTTTTTTGAGTCATGCTCATCTTTCTAGGTTTATGGAAAAAGAAGCAGTAAAAGATTGTGTTGAGGTAAAAAATGATGTGGAATATACTTATTGGATGGTCGTGAAAGCATAGAGAACAAAGACTTTGATGTTCTCGATTGGTGGAAGGTTAACAAAAATAAGTATGGTGTTTTGTCCAAGTTGGTTAGGGATGTGTTGGCAATCCAAGTTTCAACCGTTGCTTCATAAAGTGCATTTAGCACTGAAGGAAGGATCCTTGATCCTTTTTGTAGTTCTCTAAATTCTAAAATGGTGGAGGTCTTAGTATGCACTCAAAATTGGTTGAAAGTTTCTCTGAACTTGGATGGTTTTTGCATGGAGGATGTTGAGTATCACAACCAATTGGATGAAGGTAGTATATACAATATTCATCAATCTTATTGTTTTGAGTTATATCTGATTATTTGTTTTCAACTTAATCACTTTATTTTTTGTAGAACTTTTAAAATCAATGAATTCTATAATAATTGAAGATGATCAAGGTCCCAACGTTAAGTGATTAGTTTGTTTTACACGTTTTCAGATATACTTTTTTATTAGTTTACAATTTCAAAGCTTCTTTGATGCTTCAATATTGCTTATTTGACACTTTTTTAATGCTTCACATTGCAGGTTCCATTCCCCCAGTTTCAACTCTGCCAGTGCCAACAACTTTCATTTCTCCACTTATGTTTCTGTCAAGAGATTCATTGCTTCACATTAACTATTGTAGAATTTGGATGCAGTTTTAATTTCTCTGGATGATTGTAATATCTGCCTGTGTTTTTTATTTTTTGTGGATGCTGACAATTATTTTTATTATGTTTTCTCTTGTTGTGTCTCTTATTGGTTGTGGTGGATTTTGAAGCCTAGTGTTATGCAATTTTCTTTTTATGTCTCTTATCGTCCGTAAAATCACGTGGAACTCTTTTGACATCTTTATGCCACTACAATGCTTGGTTTTTAGTTATTCACGTGTTCAATTTTAGGGACTTATGCCTTAATTGTTTATATTGATTAATGATGCTATATCTCAATAACACTATTAATACAATATTCCGTTGCTATCTTCATTGAGGATCGATCATGAACAAAATGTGAATTACAAATCGACCAATCCAACCCAACTGATCTTGATTGAGTTGGGTTGGGTTGGATTAATTTTAAATCAAACCGAATATGCTGTGTTGAGTTTGAGTTTGAGTTTGAGTTGAGTAAAAAAGAATAAGGACGTGTTCGGTAGAGATTAAAATCATATTAAAATTGAAAAATTAGTTATTATTGTTGACTTTTATTAGACGAGTGAGACCCACTAACAGTTATATTTTTAATTTTAATTGAATTTTAAGCTTGACCAAACATGCTCTAATACTACTTCTATATAAATGTTTACGTATAGATGTGGTGTCAAAAAAGAGAATGAAGATTTTTTCTCTGTTGAAGAAATTTTAATCCAATCATATTTCATCACATCATTTGTGTGTAAACAATTATGTAAACCTATTATTTACACGTAGTACAATTGTTAAAAAAATGCACAAGAAAGGAAAAGTAGATGTTAAAACAATTTTTTAAAAGTGACTATTTCTCTAAAATCACACGTTGTATCCAAGAGCCATCTCCCGTACTAGCGCGTGACGTTCGATCACAACTTAGTACTCCTCTATGCTTGCGATACAATCAACACATTCTGTGCGTCAACGTAACCTATCACTGCCTTATCATTAGTAAACAAGTGTGCCATCAAAATCAACAATGTGCTTTGAAAAATCACTCAACGGAGTTTGTAGAGAGAGAGAGAGTGAGAAAAGTGCGAATCAATCAAAGGACACCCCAAACCCCTAAAATTTCACAACTAATAGTAAAAAATACTCTTTTTATACAAAAATTAAAGTTGTAACTACAGAATACAAATTTGTGATTAATATATAATAACAACGATTCAATTTAATATTTAAAAGGTTCCAGCGTAATAGCTGGAGAAGCAAAAACTTAATATCAATATAAAATAAGAAATAAGCTCAGCACTACATAATCTCTTCTTTATGGTGCAAATAGGGGTGGGCAAAAACCCGCCCCGACCCGGTCAACCCGCCAGGCCCGACCCAACCCGACCGGGTTGGGTCGGTTTTTTGCCATTTTTTTTCTCGGTTCGGTTGGTTGGGTAGGATAAGTGGGTCGGGTTGGGTCGGGTTGTGGGTTAACCCACCCAACCCGACAAAAACCGCCCAACCCGACCCGAGAATTAAAAAAAAAAAAAGATTTTTTGTTAAACTAAAACGGTACAAGGAAAACCCTAAAATTCTCATTCCATTTCCCCCCCTCATCTCATTTCCTCTGTTCGCCGTCTTCTCTCTACGCCCACTTCTCTGCTCCTCTCTCTTCGCCATCTTCTCTCTTCGCCAAGTTCTTCAGGAGAAGTTTGGAGACCTATGCTGTTTTGCGTGGTTGTCTACATTTAGTAGATCTTGCTGGAAGTGAAAGAGTAGAACGTTCTGAAGCAACAGGGGATATGCTACAGGAAGCACAACTGCACAAGTGCACAACATATAAACAAATCCCTATCGGCTTTCCCATGTGCCCTACAGAAACAGCAAGCTAACTCAAGTTCTTCAAAGCTCTCTACTCTCTAGGTAACTATTGACTGATATTATGTGAATTACGTAACTGAATTGAATGATAAAGATTTTTAATGTTGCCATATATGTGATTGATTTTTCATTTTGTCCTTCCATTCGTGTAAAAACTGTGAAGTGGGAGAGTAGGATTGTAGCCTGTAGGTGGGATTGAATAGGGGCAGCCCAACATAGAAGTGGAAATTATGAAAGTTCTGATTGGGGCTGATGAGCCAATGTGTTGAATTTTCTCGTTCCACTTTTTTACTTATGTTTTACTACTTGCCTGATAAGAATTCCTTGTTTATATAAAGTATAGAATAGAATATGTGATGTGAGTTGGTTGTTTAAATTAATGAGCAGATTAATTGTATAAATGAATCTTGTCATGTTCGTTTAAATTAATGAGCAGATTAATCCTGATGTCTGCATCTAAATATGCATTTATTTCTTGTTATGTCTCAAATGCAAGTGTGATGTTTACATGCATTTCATATTATGTCTACAATGTAGTGGGAAATTCTTAAAACAGAATATGTAGTCTGGCTTTCTGCCTTGTTTCTCGTGGCTGTCCCAGTGGTTACATTTAAGCTTTGATTACTTGAGCTTTTGTATTCTTAATTTGGCCTATTTTCTCTTTCTATATTTCTATGGTGTTTTGAGGCCACTGACAGAATTTTTCTTAGACACACATAATTTTCTTTTATATATAATATATAGTCAATTGAAGATTTTCAGTTTTATTTTTGATGATCTAAGTTTGATAAATAGATTCGATTAGTGAAGTTAAGGATTTTTGGAGTAGTTTTTT